GCTCCATTACTTCCTCTAGATGGCATGTTTATCTTGAGTTGGATATGTTTGCATGCTATTTCCTATTTCAATTTGTCTCTTTCTTTTTCTTACATCTCTTCTTTGTGGGCCCTAGGATATTATCTTCCAAGTGGGCATATAGATGCTTTTTATCCATTTGTCTCTTTTACACCTTCTGGCTGTTTTAATCTCCTGATGGGTTTCAACTTTCTCTGATTGATAACCTTCCTGCTGTCATTTAGAAGAATACACAATATTTCACTTTCAGATCCAATTTTGCCTACTTAGGATCCTGCTACTTGGCTGGTGGTACCTACCAGTGAATACTTATTTTCCAAAATCTGTATTGAGCCAGAATAACAAGATAATGGAAGGCACTTATACCATCTGTCCTGGCTCCAAATATGCCTGCTGTAAGATGGAATGTTCCTCAAGATCACTTGAGGTATTCTCATGATATATCTATATATTTACCTTTTTGTCCAATCCAGACTGTACTTATTCCAAGGACTATCATGGAAAAAGCCAGAACCAGGGATGTGTTCTGCCTAATTCCCTGGCTTGCACTTGCTGGCCTTACAAAATAGGGTTACTCAGTCACCCATTGCACTGTCTCTAGTGAAAGACCTTTCTATACTAATAGACTGACTGGGATCTAGGCATTTTTTTCTGGGCCTCCCCCACATTGAATGTCTCCCCTCATCTTTTCTCATCAAGTGGAGCACAGAAGACTTGCCACTTACTAGTTCGTAGCTGCTGGTGTAGTGGACCATGGAAAATCCTTACTGATTGAAACCTAACTACTGAGGCTAGACCAAGGTATGCCACTATGGTGGAAAGTGGGGCAGTAGGGACACTGTCATTGTAGTGTGGGTCACCCCACATATAGCTAATACCACATGCCACTTGTGCTATCCTCCTGTGGCCTGATTCTGTTCTTTGGAGGTGAGCATACACTATGATGCTATGCCATCCTCCTGTAGCCATTGTCTGTTCAGTAGAATTGAGGTGAATACCTACTTTATACCTGTCCTCCTTCTGTAGGTGTTGTCAGTTCAGTTGAATAGAGGTGTGCACACACCATACCACTCTCTATGGCATGACTACTGCTGGTGTTGTTCCGATAAATTATGCAGTAAAATGGAGGTGAGGTTATATGATATGGTCTGAATGCTATCTCTTGTGTGCAAGTACTTTGACAGCCATGTTTGTATTCTGCCCATTCTGTGACACATGAAAGCTTGTTTACTTTTCCTCCTTTTTTCCTGGGCAAAGAGTATACCTTGGATGATATTAGATGCAGTCTCACACCAGTGTGCCTCTATAGATCATTTGTCCCACCCCATGGCCTTCCTTTGGGCATTTTCTGAAAGGAGCTCAGCTAGGTAGTACTTTGTACCAGCCTCTCAACCATTTCAGAATGGGATTCTAGCTGATTGTGTGCCAAGTTTTGGTATCGTCTCGGAAGTTAATATTTTCATTACCTGAAACTATTTCTGACAGATACCTCTGCAGATATTCTCACTCATCCACCCCACTTACAGAGCACCTTTTTATTCCTTGCTTTGTCAAAAAATGAATTTCTTGAGTGCAAATGCACAAGGGGAGTTGTTGGTCATGAAGATGTTCGCCCTCCTGTTAGTAGTGTATTAGGTGGCCAGTAAGCGTATTTGTTGGGTTTGACTTCAAACAAGTTACAAATGAATTTATTTTAAATCCAGGATATGCAGTCATGGGTTAAGCACACATGCCATCACCTTGAGGAACTTATGTGTAGAATAAAGAAACTCACTCGGAGACAGTCATAATACCAACACAAAATACTTTTTATAAGTTCTTCTACTTCAGTTTCCAAAGTTACCTTGAAATAATTTAAAATCAAAACTATCAAACTCTTCATTTTGGATTACTATTATGTTTATCAACACAAACACTACATTGAACAGGTTATCTGTTAAAGTAATACAAGAAATTCCTTCAATAACTAAAATGAAAAAAATAGAGCTCATTAGATAAAACTGAAGTAAAAGAAAATTTATATTTGAGGAATGCATGTGGCCTGTCATTGCATATGGTAACTTAGTAGTTTGTTCACTCTAAGCTCATGTTTCAAAGAGCAATAAAATTAAATGAAAGCAAGTGTGCAACTTTAGGAACCTGAGGTTATTTAGGATAAATAATTGTCATTGTCTGTTGTGATCTTTAGTTATTCCAGAAAAAAGGTACTACTTGATTTGATTTTATATTTTTACAATTTCTGCTATAGATGGTTTTGTTACATTTAGTGCTAGGATAGAGAAAATAACAGAAGTATAAAGTTGTATTGAAAAAACTAAACTTTGATATTCATTTAGGAGTTTCTAGAGGTTATGCAAATGATGTATGAAAACTGTTAGATGAAAAGTACTTTTATTCTTACATTAGCATGAAAAATTGAAAATCATCTTTTACTCAGACTGACTCAGTAGAGGCTTCGCAAATTCATAGACAAATCTTTAATAAAAACATTTTGTTAAAAAATCAGAATTTGTGTGTATGACAGACTTGTACTGTTTTCTAAAAGCTTGCTGATTTTACAAAGATATAGTATGCATGGTTACATGGTGGTTACAAGGTTGGTCAAAATCACTGAACCTGTATTCAAAGAGTGTTAGGAAATATTCTTCATAGATATGTTAAGCAGATCATAATAATCTTAAGCACATGTATAAACTGTCAAGTAATTAATAGAAGTTGGAAGAAGAATCTGAAATGTTGAAAAATAATGATTTGATGAGAAATTGTTTGGTGTAAACTGCAGTGAAATGTCAAAAACAACAACTGGTGCTAAAAATCTTTGGCAGTGTTTTCGATATACTTGACAGCAATTATCAGTGAAGAATTTGGATAAATTACTTGGGAGAATCCCCCATTTTTGTCAAGCTATGTTAAAAGCCATACACTTATTTTAATAAAATTAAAATGTATTCTATAAAATGTCAGTATTCCACTTTTTATTAGAATTACTAAGATATATATAGAATAAGCATTAAGAAGTTTTATGAAAAATCTATTGTAAATCCCAATCATCACCTGTGGTATTAGCTCCCAAAAGTTTTGGGGATATCCCATCTACCTGACCAAATCCAAGTGCTGATGTTAAGCTAGCTAGCAATCATGGAAAATCAATTAAGGGTATGGAGTTGAGTGCTTACACCTACAACATATCAACTCCTACTGCCCTTCACTGCCTGCAACCAGTTGTGGGAAAGCACAAAAAAAAGTTTTTAAAATTCCTGAAGTAGAAATAAAATGAAACCACCTTAATATTTCTGCTATATGCTACTCCCACCTCTGCCAATACAGAAATAAAATGATATTAGGGGTTTTCATCTTCCATCTGGAGAAGGTCCTTTTTTCTTTTTGTATTCTTCTTTGATAGGAGATACTTCTGTAGTAGTTTGAGTTTTAAAATAATGACTTACTAGCAAATGTTACCAGGTTATGCATTGGATTTTGCTCTGGGTTTGGTCTGAAGCAGATTGGGGCAATTACACACACATCCTGAAAATGTTGGCAGAATTTGGTATGGTTATGTAGATTTTATTGATATAATGTAGGAGCTTATTAGTGCTCCTGTATTTGGATAACAATACATTAATAAACTATATAGAAAAAATGGGAAGAATAAGTTCTACAATCTTGTTTACTGACTGTGTTTCCTTCTTCACTTACAAACTTTGCATAAACCTGACATGCAGAATAATCTACATGGTCTGTTTTCATGATTGTGGAAAGTATTGCTGTCACATTCTCTGCAAGTTTTCGGGTCCTCTTGAAACTACAAGTTGCCAATTCTGTTTTCTCCATATTCAGAGACCTTAGAAATGAAAGTCATGGCCCAGGTTTGATTTTGAAGACTTATACATATTCCTTACTTGTGGTTGTGACTAAGATATTAAAAATATTTAGCCTTAGAAACATCTTTTGCATAAGTCCAAAATAAAAGTTTTTCTCTCCATACAAATCCCAGTTAAATTTTGAGTGCATTGGTAGAAAAGTGGGATGTTCTTTCCAATCAACAAGGTGGATTATCAGTTCTAGAAAAAAGCATACACAAACTACACTACAGCATAGTCCCCCCCTCTGATTTAGGGGCCTCCATAATTATGGGTTAGATTTTTTTAATATGATTTTTCAGAAAATGTTAGGCATTCATATGTTATAATTAATCTTTTTGATGTCTGTTACAGCCAATTAGTGTCCATCACTTACTTGGATAGAAAGGCAGACATCCTAAAACAGATATAAAAGAAAAATCAATATTAAGTGACATCTCTGGTCGTATTAGGAAGCATAGAAGGCATTGTCGTATGAAATATTGTTATTATGTAAAATAAGATAAACACCATAACCATAGTACACATATAAAATTTTCTAAATTTATTAACATATTTTTGTAAAACTTCTATTTGTTACAATAAAATTTCATTAGAAGATGCACACAACCAGTTTACATAGGGCCTCCTCAAACCTTAACCTGGCACTGATACATAGCCCTCTGTATTCCTTCCCTGCTTTTCACATAAGTGGTTTTGGGACAAAATGTGCCTTATAGAGGAAGTTAAAAGACGAATAAAAAGTTTGTGTTATTGAGTTAAATAAGAGATGTAGCTGGAGTTTATTGTAGAAGTACCTATTAAATTACTTTTCACTATATTAAAATAATTATTCTGATAATCAATACAATGTTCCAACCCAAACCTTCTAACATGCAATGAAGTTATAATTTATCATATATGAACCTACTAAATTTTATTGTCCAAATGGTGTTTTCAAAATTAAAAATGAAAATTACATCATTTTGTACATTTGTGTAAATACTGTTATAGTATTTATAATATTATGCTAGTAATTAAAAGTAGCTGTGTGAATATAATATTTGTCTGGAGTAAATGCAGTCTTATGCTTGAAAGTGTATTACATTTAGTGTTAGTTTTAACCTGAATATTTTGTTTTAGGAAAAATGAAACAAGACCATTTGAAGACCCATTATCATTGGTAAGCCCCAAAATTTATTTATGAATTAAAGATAAATTAAGAATGAATTCTTCTTTGCAATGTCAAAACAAAAATCTAAAATAAACCACCACATTATTGATAAGTTAGTTTATTTGTTACTTTAATACCAAAAGTTACCAAAGCATAATAAGTTTAATTTATCCAAAAATGCTTAAGATACTGTGGGTCATTTTTTTTGCCCATCCCAAAGCAATTGATTCAGCTCAAACAGAAGATGATACATCATAAATATGGTAAGATAAAGAAACTTGGCATTACTCACATTTCATAATTTTATTCATGTGCTATAAAACTAAATATACATTACACTTTGTTCAGTGTAACACAGTGAAGATTCTTAGGTGTAATAGGAGTAAAAGTGAATGTTTTCAACATAAAATGAAAGAATACAATGTGAGTAATGCCATGTTTTTGTTAGGCTATGGTTATGAAATATAAATTCTTCTATGGACAACTGTGTAAAATCATAAAGTTAATTCAAACAACCTTTTGTTTTACACATTAAAAATATTTTACTTGAAGCTCATCTACAATCTCAAATAGGTTTTTTTTTATTTTATAAAAAAGTTTTATAGATATGAGATATTACCTAATATTCCAACTGAAACAGAAACATCTCAGTTGAAGCTGTCTGTAACCTTATTTGTAGTGAGATGAAGATATATATTTAGTTTGGTGGTGTTTCTCCAGGGGGCTCCGAGGCTGTACTTGTGGGTGATCCTGGACATTCTGGAGAAAATTTAGATTCACTTTCTCCGGTACCTTCCTTTATTCTGTTGGCTTCTCAGGAGGCCAAATTGGGATTAGCCACCTCTTGCTCCTTTTCTTCATTTGGCAAATCAAGTGTGTGATATTTTGGGTTTTTCCCCAGTTGCTTTTGAGTGTGTGCTTTCCTTGATGGCAGCAAGATCTGAGGGCAAATACTTAGTTCGCCCTCCATCCCCTGATATTGCAGTTCATGCAAGGAGGTTTACTGCTCAGTTACGTGAAGGGACAACTATGTCTTGTTGGCCACATTTATCAGAACAACATGCTACAGTCTACCATTGCCAGGTGGACTTTACTCTCAAAGAATAGACCTGCTTCTGGAAATTTGAGTTCCAGAATGTAGTCTTTGGTCAAACTGAATAGATCACACTTTTCTAGAATTTATCTGACCCTAACTACAGTGCTAAGATATTTATCATCCCTGTAACTTTTGTCAGAACCCTCTCATGAATTTGATGACTAGTTAGGACCATTGTTAGCATCTACTTTGGGTCTATTGTCAGATCCTGCACTTTCCCGAGTCTCTTGGCTAGTATGTTGTCGGGATTTATAGGGTTAAGGTGCATTGTTGGAGGACGTTTGTCTGGGTGTATGGAAAACCTTTACCATAGATCTATGGATACTACAGGTCCTTGCATCAGGATTAGTCATTCATTTCACATCTTCACCACCATTATCCACTCAACCTGTAGTGGTTCTGCCTTCTGCAGACACTTGGATTTCTGAACTTCGTTCTAGGTCTATCAGAGTTTTGTTGGTCTGGGGGCAGTGGAGAGTCGTCCCAGTTCTTCCAGGATTTTATTCCATTCTATTTGTTGTGCCCAAGAAGACAGGAGATTGGTGTCTGGTCATCAATCTTTATCTTCTAAGTCAATTCCTAAGTCCTAATGGTTCATGGAGTCATTCCTCATTCTGCCTTTGCACTTTTCACCAGGACTGTGGTTGACCAAGTTCGATATGGCTAATGCCTATCTGCACTTTCCCATTTGTGTTTTGTGCATAAGGGTCAGGTGCTGCAGTTCAGGGCTCTGCCCTTCGGACTAGCATCAGCACCATATGTGTTCTAACGAATTGTACAAACCTTTTTTCATTACCTTTATTCCCTAGACCTGTGCACAGACTATTACATGGACGAATGGTTACTGCTGTCACTATCGTGTCAGTTTGCAGAACATCACACCCAAATTCTACTTTCAGAAGCAACCAAGGCAACATTTATTATTAGAGCCGAGAAATCTATTCTCACCCCACCACAATATATTGTCCATCTGGGTGTCTTTTTTTCAACACGTATCTCAATCGGGCTCAGCCATCTCCCATCTGCCTCCATGCTATGGAACAGGCAGTCCATCTCTTACTCACCTCTCCTTCTCCCACTATGTGGATGGTTCTTTCCCTTTAGGGGATGTGGGCATCACTCAAATCCCTCATTCTTTTGAGATGGCTGCACATGAGATCCTTCAGTGGTCTCTATGCAATTAACAAATCATGAATAGTGATTCACTGGACTCGTCAGTCTCCTTATTCAGGATCAACCTGAGCGGTTGTTAGATCAGAACAATACTGACACCCCCTCATTCAAAGATGCCTTGCTTCAGGGATGAGGTGCATATCTCAATGGTCAGAAATTTCATGGCCTATGGATAGATAATGAGGCTTCCCTACATAATGTTTCAGAACTTCTTGCTGTTCAAAAGGCAATGTCTCAAGGTCTGGCCCTATTGAGAAGAAGTACCAACAGGCTTCACTTCCACAATTCTATGGTAGTGTCTTACATTTCCCATCAACAGGGCACTCTGTCCAGGTCTCTTTGTTTTCGAACCTTGGATCTTCTTTATTGGGCCCACTCCCATCATATCATCCTACTAGCTTGCCATGTTTCAGGGGTGATGAATTTGGTGGCAAATCAATTGTCTTGACCCAACTGGATTCTCCCGACAGAATGGATCACAAAGTTTTCCATTTGATTTGCTCTTGGTTCGAGACACTGATGATTGATGCATTTGCCACTCACTGGAACATTCAATTACTGGCATTTTTGTCTCCGGTACATTGGTCATTGGCAATAGATGCATTTAGTTAGGACTGGATGGGACCTCACCTTCCCACAGATTCGTATATTACCCAGAGTACTTCCTATGATTCGTTCAAACCCTTGTCAGGTTCTGTTGATAGCACCTGTTGGCCAACTCAACCCTGGTTTCTGCTTCTGCTGTACTTTCGGGTGTGCCCAACTCTTCCACTTCCTCATTGGCCATTTCTCTTGAGGCAGCCATGACCCGACACTGTACACCCAGCAGGTGTAAGTAGCAGCCCTTTTATCATAGCCTTTATTTAGAAGCTAAATGTGGATATTCCCTGTTAAATTTTATTGTTTATTGTGAGCTTTTGGCTCTCTCACCTGAGCTTTCTTCACTTCACTTGTTTTACAAAGGCTTCAATAAAATAACTGAAACTAGCAGTAAGATCCAAAAGTTAATACTGTGATTGTTGATGCATATAATTTATTCAAGTATGAGTACCTCTATATCATGAGTCTTAAAAAAGACGAAATTTGATAGTTTTATTGATCCAAGATTTACCTAATCTCAAAAATAAGTATTTTTCGTTCTTCATCTTATCAACATTTCTTTAGCAACAAATGAACTACTATAGCTTGTTGAGAATCAAACCACACAAATTTAGTTTTATATCAGTAGCTTGAGATTTGTACTTTTTCAGACTATAATACTTGTCATATACTAAATGATAGTCATATTACTGTATCATCAGAGCTTATATAATAATATACTTGTGACCTCTTGATTAATGGCAAGTATAACCTGAATATGAAGAAAGGTATTTTTACTGATTATTGTGTCCATGTCCTTCAGATATTTCATATGCGTGGTGCAAGAATTTTTTATCCCTTTGCACTTATTTATTCATGATAATTTCCATATTTATTTTTTAGCTTTTTAATTTTTTTCTACATGACATTTTTGTGCTAACTGGTTTTCAAAGTGTATATTTAACTTCAACAGTGCTTATTTTAGTTTCCCTTTTAAGTTAGATTTTTTAAATAAAACTTTCTACTATGGGGTATGTCCCACAGACAGACCTCATAACCATTTTGTGCTTGTTTTCATACTATAACTTTTAATACAGTATGTGCATCTTCACAATATTTTGCAGATTTTCAGTAAACATTACAAGGTTTTCGTACACAAAGTTTTATTTTATTTTTTATTAAGGTTTGGGATTTTTTAAGTAATGATTTGCTCATGCATTTTTTTTTTTTCCAATGTTGATTGTCCAACATGCAGATTAATTTTGATTTTAAGATTAAAATACTTTTATGCATCAGAAAATTGTCAAATTTCACATGCAAAATCTTTATCTCCAGATAATTATCAAATGTTTTGGTTTAGAAAAAACTTGGTCACTAAAATTTACAGTGTTATTCTCATATATTGAGTCAATTTCTCACCACTATCCTGACGGTTGGATGCGTTGGTGCATGCAGACTGAAACCCAGTCTGAGCTCACACTCAATTCTGTGTAACCGGGCACAGTGTATCTGCCAGTATGGGCTTTTTGCATTTTGGTACAGCTTGAAGCTTCTTGGCAACTAACATCTTCCTCCAGTGTGAAAACTTTCAGCAACTTGCCAATTACTGTATAGTACATTAGGGAAGTGGTAGCTTAATGTGATGGTCTTTTTTAAACATATTTTGTGGTAAAACACAAATACAGATTGACACAATGTTATATGCTTTTGTATATTTAACTGTATGAAAATTAAAAATGTTATTACAATTATATATTATTTATCTTTGTTGCAGTCTCTACTCAACAAAGTATTGATTTGATAAATAAGGCTCATTCATTCTGTATCACGTGATTAACTACAATCACATCTGTAACACAAGATCGCATTCACTGTGATTGTATATACTCACAAACATCAGAGACTAACTTTAATGTACTATACAGTAACTGGAAAGTTGCCAAGCACATTGAAGTTGTCCCAAAATGTACAGCAGAAACACTAACAAAACTTCAGGTGCATGCTGCACTATATACAGTGGATCCTGGCCCCCACTTCAGGCTCTGAAGGGCCACATGTGCTTTCTAATTTTCTTGGGGAAAAGATATATATTTTGCAAGCAATGTTGCTAATAAGGATATTTGAAGTCCTGTTCCCAAGAAATTGAACAAAAAACAGATCTTGAAATTGTCACAATCCCTTAATAAGGGACTAAAGTTTTTAACTTTCTTAGAAATGGGGGTAAAATAACTTGAAAAAGCCTGCAAATGGGGTATATTAAAAAAAATCTGTAGTTTCTCCAGGGAAAAGTATTCTGGAATTTAGGTACAAGCACACATGTAAGTACCACCAGCCCTTAAATTAGGTGGTTGGGGTAGATAAAGCAAGATTTCAAATTTATATTTTAGTGGTACAAAAAAAGACATATGGAACCAAGGATATTTGTGGTGGGGCACAGCCTGGAAGGTAAAGACTAGAAATATGATAAATTATGAAGAAAAACATTAAAATCACACCATATTAACCACTACTCATTTGTGTCAGCTGGATCATGATCATTCAACCAGATGGAGTCCTAAATTAGAAAAGAAAATATAATGATTTCTTTTGCAAATTAAATGAGTACTACAGTTTTGTAGTACATCATTCTATGTAGCTTTATCTATTGTAAAACAATATTTTATACCTTATCCAGCACCGAGTGACCTAGGCTAACTTGGAGTGTTACACTTTGTCTTCCATTGATTGTATCCCTAAACTTCTGTTTTACTATAACCACATGGCAAGAATTTCAGAATTATGTGTTGTTTCTGCTTTTTCTTTTTTTAAGACAAAATACAAGTTTCCAGAATGGAAGTTCTGAACTCGCCAGGTGTGAGATGTGACAGTTTTTTTAAGTTCAAAGAGTGAATACTTCAGTAAAGACTGAAAAAAAAAGAACAATGTGCACTCATGGTCTTGGATTAATTATCTGCAATCATCATCCACCAGTGATGAGTTTTATCCTATTTATCTGATGGAATTGAGCAAACAAACTCGTTTTACACCATTGTATGCAACATACTAGGCGTCAACACCATTTTACAGTGTGATTTATTTCTCACTTTTCTAGCAGGATTTTATTTTCCTTTTTAAATTTATTTTTTTTGACAGTTTATCTCTCAATGAATCTTTGTTGGTATTACAAGTAAGAAAGGTCTATAGGTTACAGTATGATTCATTCATTTATGGGTTGCTTCATTACAAGATAAGGAAAAAATACATTGGCCACCCAAAAGACGTGTCTAGGTTGTCTGGCTGGCTACCAAAAACAAAAGTTAAGTGCAAGCCCTGGCAAGATTATTAGTCAGATTCATTAATTAATTACATTCAAATAATCAGTAATTCTCATAGGAGACTTGGATGTTTTAATAATTGAGAATATTAATAATCAAAAACTAATTTTGAATATTTGATTATTTTTGTGTCATGAAACTAATCAACTAAGCTTAACAACCTTGAATTAATATAAAATAATAATGAGGAATCACAATTGCAATATTTCAATTACTTGGATAGTTGGAATAATTGAAAATAATAATTTTTTCAACATTAATAGATTTAATCATAATTTTGATTGTAGTGTGTGACACTTATCAATGTAATCCAGTTTCATAGGTAATAGAGTTTATTATCTTGCTGTACCATGTCATAAGTATAAAATATTTGGTATACATATCTACTCAAGTTGAAACTTGGGAGAGAGATTTTATAGATTTACTTATTTGGTACAAGATTGTGAGAAATGTGAAAAATATTTACTCTTTTTTTTTTTAAGTTCACTATAAACATTGCAACAGGAAAATAAGTTTTTATTTTATTGTAATAAATTTGTCATCTTCAGTTTTATTTTAACTGCAGTCTTATGCTAAATGACATAAATATAGCATTAGGGTATTTTTTTTTTTTTTTCATTTGTAATATGCATGAAATGAGAGCATTTTATTTTATAAACACTTATCTTACATTTGATTTAACTCTTATTTTATTTACAGACATATATATTATCTGGATACCATTCTTTATGCTAATTAATCAGAAAACTGTATATAGTGAGTTGGTGCAGAAGTAGTATCCGTAACATTTGAAGATGGTTTTTGCTGCTCAATATTTTTTGTGTGTGTGTGTGTGAATCATAGAAAAATATTTTCTATGTATAAGTAAGTGTTGGGGATTTTTATTTGATTTTTTCCATCACATTCTATGTAGTGAATTTTTTCAACCATTCTAGCTGGTCTTTTCACTAGATTCTATCTTTTTAAGATTTTTATAAATGGTAGACATCTGTCATTGTGAAAAAGTTTGTTTATAGTATAAACAAAGTGCATTTTTGTACAGGGTGCTACTGAGGAAGTCTCTTGGCTTTAACTCTTAGCAAATACAATCTAAATGTATTTTAATTTAATCAACAGTGATTACAGACCAAACTTGAAATAAATTCAATAATTCAGTTTTGTATCACATTTGTAACAGCCAGTGTGTTTACAAACTACTTATTACTGTGCTTTCTAAATAAATAACCTTAATGTTTAAGCTGAATATATATTGTGTATGGTAATTAGCACTATGAAAGTTAATATATTAGAATACAAGATATTTAATCACATCACAAAATTTACAAGTTTTCTTGTGTTCTTTTTTTCAGTATTATAAGTTGTTTTCTTCTTTTTCAGGAGTTTTTCTCTAAGAAAAATGATGCATCATTATTCATGTTTGGGTCACACAACAAGAAGAGGCCACATAATCTCATTATTGGAAGGATGTATGACTATCATGTTTTGGATATGTTGGAGTTAGGAGTTGAAAGTTTCCAGCCTTTAGCTGAATTTGAGGTTAGGAACATGATTTATTTGAAGGAATTTACAAAATAATCACATGTTTATCATGTATAGTGTGTAGAAGAAACCACTTGAAATGGATGCAATTATACCTAAAGCTTAAACAAATTCCAAATATATTAGTGTTTTTAAAGCTATTATTCACACAATGATACATTCTTTTTTGTACTGTAAAATTTTGCATTACGAAACAAAATGCATGTAACTGAATATACAATTAAATTTTTATTTAGAAAAATTTTAATTATTATTCAAGTGATTATTCATTTCTATTGAGTAATTCAACAAAGTGTTTAAGTGCTTCATTCTTTTTTAATATTTCCATCACCAAACTGTTATTAGGTCATGATCCTAACTTTGTTGAGCATTGTCTTTAAGTTTTTAGTTTGTTTTTGAGTGTGAGACATCATAATAATATATAAAGTTCACTGTTGAAGAAGAATTAGACTTTACATCACCTTTTTAAATCTACAAATTCATAACAAAGGGAAAACACATTATCAGTATCTTGTTGATCTAAAATAATAGCTTTTGTAATAGAACTGTATACAGTCTGTCAATTTGGTATCAATATTTAACACAATAGTCATATGTCAGGATAAAAGGCTAGAGTACTCTTGTAAGATATAATGGTGCAATATGTTTCTCAAAATTAATAACTTTGATAAATCATTACAAGTATCTAATGAATAACAATATGGTGCAAGTAATCAAAAGACAGTAAAAATAAAAATGAATCAATCTGTATCACCCATCTGTTGGGCTGACAGTCCAGGTAGGATAATAATATTAGCACTAAATAACTGAGCAAAAATGGAGTTTAGAGTCCAAAGAAATCAGGTCATGCTGAAATATTTAACCCCTTACCTACTGGGGTCATTTTGTCTTATAAGGGCAAAATTGCATTTGTGAATTGAAAAAAAAATAGAGAATATTTCTTTTATTGGGTTTTAGATTTTATAGTAACATAACATTCTATTATTTGTAATGAAGTTTGAATAAAAATTTAATTTAAAAAAATTCCAAAATACGTTTGAAACTGTAAATAACTGCCCTCGAAGGTAGAATTTTTTCAACATTTTTATAAAATATTTTCCTTGCACTTTAGTGCTGGTATCTAAACCTTTTTCTAGTCTGTTAAACCACATTTGTGAAACTTTTAGCCAATCCTAGTTGATGTGTCAATTTTAGTACCATGTTATTCCAATCGCTGTATTTCATGTTTGACAAATCATAGGATGATAAGCAAAGCACGTGACAAAACGTTGTTATCTGGATTTTACAATATGAAAGTGAGTGCTTATTATAGTAACTGCCATTTTATGTAGAGGTTGTATTTAGTAGTGGTCAATAGTACTTTTTTATAAGCCTTAGAAAATTTGCTTCTGGAAAAAATTGCATGGGATGTATGTGACTTTTATTATTTTCTATAGTAGCTTAAAACATTCTATATCGTATATCTATTTATATTAATCATTATATTAAAAAATTTAACTTAAAATATATATATTTTTAGGAAAGAAGTTGATCCACAAATGTTAGGGTTAAGATCTATCAAGTGCCTAGTGCACGGTCTTAACATGAATTAGGCTTAGCACTTAGAACTGAAAGAGTTTGTGATTTTTATATTCTTTTGCATTTAAATTAGCAGTTTTAAGTTCATTAATTTAGCATAATTTTATATTTAGTTATAATAAAAATATGATTCAGTATTTAGAATAATAACCTTGTGTGATTATTAAAAAAATTAAAAATAGACAAGATTTTCATTTTTTTGGATGATAAAAAGCTTTTAAAATAATGTACTAAAACATAAAAAAGTAAGAAGTTCAAATCTGGAACAAATATAAATATCGTAATCATCTCTTATAGTAATGTTCCAAGATATTAAAGATGATAATGCAAAAAACTAAATATATCAAAAGTGAAAGGCTTTGTTTCTTAACTAAGTGCATTTATGAAAGTTCTTATGAAGTTTCAAACAGTATTCACTAGTTTTATTGATGAAACGAAATATAGCAAGACTTGCAGTGGCTACTCAGAAAGTTAATACCCGGTAGTGATTGGGTTAATGTATATGTACAACATTAAATACCCAAGTGATTTTAGACTTGTAATAAACTCTTGTGAACTGTACATGTAGGAAGTCAATCTTCATTTACCTTTCCAATTTATATAGCTGTCAATACCTGCTGGACCTAAAACAGAATATATTACTTCATATAAAACATTAGTGACAAACTTCATTTGACTGTAAAAATTTCTTTTAAATTCTCTAAACTGTTTTTCCTTGAAAGGGTTTTGATTCTAGAGTAAACAATAAAAGGTTATATATTTTGAATTCTAAAAGAATGTATCAATAAATTTACAATAAACTATGAAGTACTTTGTGAATTATTTAAGAGATTCTTAATACTATTATTATCTTCATAAAGTTATAATTTAAGTAGAATAAATAATATTGGTAACAGTTAACTTAAAAAATAGATTTTATTGAATATTAGATTATGTAACTTCAAACAAATTTGTATTATAAGAGGGAGCCACTGTTTTATCCTTAGTAATGTTGTTCAGTATGCTAAATCAAAGAAGCTAGCACCTTGAACTGTGATATAAATGAGGATCTTAAATGAGGATGTTAAACAGTCAAC